GGGGCAGCTTATCTGGGACCCCCAAAGAGACCCTTTAGTTCACAGGCTATCCTGGGAGCTGGGGCCGACAAAAATGAAGACAACGAGACCAGGCTGAGAGGAACTAGAAGAAGAGGTGGGGACCACCTCTGACTTGTGGGCTTCCTGTTTCCCAGGTCCTGCTTGCAGACCCCTGCAGCGCAGATGGACCACCAATGACATCCAAGAGAAAACCTGAAGCCCCTGTAGGGGCAGATAACACTGGGTGTGTCACTGTGACTAAAATTCGCGACAGAACCAACTTAAGGGACAAATATCCCGTCTCACTTGGTCCGGCAGGCAGAGAAGGCATGGCAGTGGGAACACGAGGCCACAGCTGTTCGTTCACACGGTGGCAGATTAGGAAGGTAGAGAGAGCTAGGCCAGAAGTAGGGGTAAGATACAACCTTCAACACACCCCAGCATTCAGTGACCTGATTCGGCCAGGCAGACCCTACCTCCAAGAGTCTAAAACTTTTAAAATAACCTTCAAGCATTCAAAACAAGCCTGTGGAAGAATTTTCAGATCCAAACCTTGGTGGTGGGGGATGCACACAAGAGGCTAGCTTCATGCTTTACAGAGTTTATTCTTGGCTCACAGGAGGCATGCCTGCTGGTCTGTTTGCTCTGTTGTTAGAAAGCTCCCAGACTGGGTGGCTTAGATACAACAAACATTTCTCACAGATCCAGGAGCCAGCACAGTTGGGGACTGGTAAAGGCCCCTTTCAATGCCCTTTCTCGTAGCTTTAATAGAGTGGAGATATCTCTCTAGGGTCACTTTTATAAAGGCACAAATCCCATTACAAGGGCTCCAATCCTCATGGCCTAAACCACTTTCCCAAGTCCCCATTTCCTAATATCATCCCATTAGGATGACCAGTTCAACATGGGGACGGACTGGTGGTCAGTGGCCAGTTCCTAACATATAGTAACTGTCCTTTTCCTCAGTAATTGCCTAGATGGACACTGAGAACCATACAACTTCCTGCTTTCCCTTTTGTGTTTAGGGCCCTGTGGTTCCCAGTTTACATTCGCCTCAGTCCTGGCTCAATTCTGTATCCTCTTCCTCACATTCGCCTCAGTCCTGGCTCAATTCTGTATCCTCTTCCTCGGCATCACAAGAATACATCCTTATTCTTTTTTTTTTTTTGAATAATTTATTTATCTTTATTTCATGTGCCTTGTTGTATGCTTGTATGTCTGTGTGAGGGTGGCAGATCTTAGAGTTACAGACAGTTGTTAGCTGCCCTGTAGGTGCTGGGAATTGAACCCACGTCCTCTGGTAGAGCAGTTGTGCTCTTAACCACTGAGCCATCTCTCCAGCCCCACATCCTTATTCTTGTGTGAGACTGACGCACAGCCTGCAGTGGTGAGAGGATGACAATCCTTATTTGCTACTGCATGAAAACATTGCATTATAAACCAACAACCGGAAAACACAACCTATTGGGATAGCAACTTCTGGCCTGCAGTAGATCAAGTTATAGCCTACCCTTTATTTCATAGATGGAGGAAGTCATTTTGTGTGTGTGGCCACAGGCCATGAATGGGGTGTCTTCTCTGATAGCTCTTCACTGCATTCCTTCAGACAGGGACTCTCACTGATTGGGGTAGAATGGCTGGCCAGTGAGCTCCGGAAACCTGCCTGTCTCCCTGGTCTCCCCAGGGATTACTGATTCATGTGCCAGGCACTCCGGCTTTTCACGTGGGTGCTAGGTATCTGAAATCAGGTCCTCACGCTCACACAGCAAGCATTTTACTAACCAAGCCATCTCTCCAGCCCCAAAGTCTGATGTCTTTCTTATTTTTTCCCTTGTGGTGCCGTGGGTTGAACCTGGAGGCCTCCAGCATGCTGGGGAAGCACACTCCCGCGGAGCTATTTCCCCAGCCTGAAAGTTGATGTCTGTCAGCAGGCCACAGGGGAAGATCAGCTCGCTGACTCCAGTAGGAACATGTCCTGCTAGAGTTAATAACAAATGGATCAAGGGACTGTCACAGAAAGCTGCACATCCCCTGGAACAGTCTCACTTTACCCCGGTGCACACCCAGTTCTTGCTTTTGGCTAAAGGCAAGCTTTAGAGCAAGGGATGTTGTAGTGGGTAGTTGTTCCAGCTTTGACCTTGAAACACTGCCCCTAGAGTGACAGCAGGTAACGGCCACACCTGCCTATGACCTGCCCCTGGGACGTGGCCAAGAGGGACCCCCTTAAGACTCTAGATGCATACGTGCTTGCTTTCTCTTCTGGATACCTCGTGGTCCTGGAATCTGGATGGGAGACCAAGTCAGAGTTCTCTGCTGGGTGGTACCTCATCTCTCCTGGATCCTGTAACCCATCCCTATTGGCTGTAAGTTATCCCAGAAATAAAACTCTCTTAATTACCAGATAAATTACGTGGACTTGCCTCATTAAATACAGCAATAGGATGTTTTTGTTCTGGGTTTTGTTAGTTTGTGTTTTTGTTTTAGATTCTATTTTATGTGTGTAAGTGTTTTGCCTGCATGTATGTATGTGTACCACAGATGTGCCTAGTGCCCAAGGAGGTCAGAGGAAAGTGTGGCATCCCCTGCCGTTGGAGTTACAAACAGTTGTGAGCTGCCTGTGGGTGCTAGCAATGGAACTCAGGTCCTCTGCAAGAGCAACAAATGCTCTAACCACTAGCCTCCCCAGGGCCTAGCAAAGATGTTTAATTATCAGAATACCTTACATAAACACACCAAGGATGATCATTCCTTTAGGTGCCAACATTTTGTCTGTTGTCAACAGTTCTCACTTTTCAGAGATACAGGATTTAATTACTGCCCCCCTCCCCCACAAAGCCAGTACACTACCACCAATACCCTGTGTTCTTATTGACACCATTATACACTCATGTATAACTCTACTGTGCATCACAGAGATGCCTTAAGAGGGCATCAGATTCCCTACAGCTGCAGTTACAGACAGTTGTGAGCTACCATGTGGGTGCTGAAACTGAACCCATCCTCTGAAAGAGCAGCCACTGGGCTGGCCCTCCAGCCCACGGGCCCTACCTTAAAAACTAACTAAACATTTATCCCAATACCTTAAACCACCCACTTGCAGCGGCACTGAACTGAGTGCTCACGCACAGGTGTGGATTTGTGTGTGCACTACGTAAGCGGTCAGTGACTACCGTATATACACAAATACATCTGAAAATCTGGCCACTCCACAGCAGCTTCCCTTTTGTTTTGAAAAAGGTCATGTGTTGGACATAAGCCTCCTCCATTCTTCACATGTCAGATCTGAGTTTTGATCACCTGTATGCAGAGTTCTCAGTGTGGCATGTTTACTCTGTACTCATGGAAGCCTTGGAGCAATAGATCTGCTCCTGTGGCTCCCATTTATTTAGCGGTGGGGGTGCCCACAAGTGATGTGCTTGTGCAGGCCAGAGGACACTTGTGCCAATCAGTTCTCTATTCCCACCCTGCAGATTCTGAACTCAGGTCCTCAAGGCTTGGCAGCAAGGACCCTTCCCCACTGGGGTACCTCTCCAGCCCTGGAGTCATCTACGGGTTTATTATCTGCATGGTCTATAGCTAAAATGCACTTCGGTCAGAAGCTGGTGGGAACTGCCTGTATGGAATGCTGTGTCACCTCCAAGTATTCAGACTGACGGCCTCCATGGCTTCTGCCATGTGAGACAATGTTTAACTTCTCATGCCCTCTCTTTTCTTATCCTTGAGCTCGGCTGACAGCCAAGTCCACCGCTAGTTTCCTCCAGCCCATGGTAGGTCTCGCGGCCCTTAGGGCAGTGCAGACCAGCCCAATCCAACTTTATCTCAATCACAAGCAGGCAAGGAATTTCAAGGATCATAAACTGAGGGTTTGCTACAGGCCTTAAAGTGGTATTCTATCATTATGATAGTATGAGACACTTTCCTGCATTCATACCCACCCTTACAAATACAGAGTGGGAAATCAGCTGGGAGGTAGGAATAGGGGGGTCTTGAGTTAAAGGCCACCCAGGGAAAGCTACACAGTGAGACTCTGTCTCAAAAAATGAAACCAAAAAAACTCCACAACTCCATGCAATCAAATCCTAATGTCAATAATCTCTTGCCAGTTCTCCAAACGGCATGGCTTAGGCAAGGAATAAATAAATATACAAGAAAAAAAGGCCCACTTCAATCTAAAATCAGTTAGGATCTGACCCAAGAGAGAGCCCAACCACTTTTTCCTTCCTCCCTTTGGTCATGTAGAACCAGCATTGTGTGCTGCCTGCGTTCTCTAAGACAAAGGGAAGCTCAGGGACGTTTGCATTTGTCTTCCACTCTGTTGTATCCCTTTCTGTGGCACTGAGGTGCCAACACTGGGGCCATCTCAAGCAGAGTGGATCATTCAACTAAGTATCTTCGCATGACTGCTATTTGTGTGGTTCTAGAAAAGAAATAATCGTGTGGAGATTAAGTATAATTTTATATATTTAAATCTTAAAATTATAGTAAATAAGTGAAATTAACAAAGAGGCTAGAGGTGCTTTTGCTCCTTGTGTGATACAGATGGCCCTCAGATTCTTTCCTGGCTTTCATAACCACTTCCATGTACTTTAACATAGCCAACATAAAGAACTTCCAAATATTCTCAGTGGAGCTGTCATATCCTGAGATCATGCATGGCAAATACTGTGTGGTTTTGCCTTCTCCGAGGACCTAGACCACCAGTCGATCATTTAACCAAGCAGGTTTAACTTGAGCCTATCAGTTTTTCTAACAGATATTCTTTAGCTCAGACACTGTTTTCTTTTGTTCTACAGCTTTGGGTGCTTCTAAGTAAGTGCAGCTAGAGCAGTGCCCCCAGAACACAAGGGCATGCATGTGCTCACGCATCAATGCCTTCCTGTCACATGGCTTCTTTCCTCACTGTTTTTGTCTTGTGTGCTTGTGGGCCACCATTAACCTTACACTGCAGCTAGACAGAAGTATTACATAATGCAACACATGAAAGAAACATCTGCAATGTATTATTTTTTATATCTTTTAATTAAAAAAACTCAACAAAGATATAAAACAAACATTTTACATAATGCATACATTCTCAACATCTGCAGATAAGATAAATAACATAAGGCAAAAGCAGACACATTTTATTGCTTCTCTTTGGTAAGTCACCAATATTCTCTGCAGAAACAGAGTATGTGTTTGTTTCTTGGAAAAAAAAAAAAAACCTTAAAATAACTGTCCCTTAGTATTAACAAAATATTTATCAATAATGCAATAGGTGTATTTTTCAAACTGACAAGAATGCATAATACTTTATTCTCTGAGGGGTAAGTAGCTGCTTTCCAAAATTAAGGCCTAAAGAGAAACAACTTTTCTAGCTACCTTTTTACTGGCTCTTTTTTTAAATGTCACATTCAAATTCCCTGACACCATTCTTGCAGAAAATCTTTGCCATATACAAAAATTCTCTTTTACCAGGCAGTTCGACACCACCCATCCTAACCAATCCCATTTCCTATGAGGCAATTCTGCTTTAATTCAGCATCATCGAAACTCAGTGTCCCAATACAAGAGAACAAAAATTCCACTAAATTTGTTCCAACAAACAGCACATATATACACCATGGCTCTACTGAAGCAATATATACAGGTCAGACTAAGAGTTAGAAAACTAAAAGGGCCCATTCAATACATAGCAGCTTGTATCTAAATATGTACAGGTATGTATATGTTTTCACAGTTAATCTTTAAAAAAAATTACATGATATGTTCAGAAATATTTCTCCTATGGTCTATAAATAATGCTTTAAAAGTTCAACTAACAAAAGAAATGAAGTATAAGAGTCAATCAAATTAAATAAATCTTCCGAGCCTTTATGAACAAATGCTTAAGTTGGTAAAGCTTGAGGTGTGTCTTGTAAAAGTGTTCTGTCAGGCCCCACCAGGAAAGGCAGTCTTCCTTCTAAACCCGGTAGGAGAGAAACTCCAAAACTTTGGAAGGAACCGGAAGTTTCTGGACTTCTTGGGTGGGCATCACTCTTCGGATCGCCATGCGACATAAATGTTGAAGGCTAGGGACTTGCCTTGGAGTAGCCCAAAAATATAGACTTCCGTCATGTGTCCCAGCAGCTAAAACACTGCCATCAGTAGAAAAGGCACAACAAAGACCATTGTTCAAGGGTGCAACTTGTACTGGACAATCCTCCTCGAGTCTCCAGAACCTCACCATTCTGGAAGGGAAATGAGCGATGAAGTGAGTTAGTAAGTCAGAAAACAATGCTTCTGAGTTCTGAGTCACAGAGTACACACACAAATCACTCCAGAGATCACAGTGACTGGTTGAGACAGGCTCATATGTAACCCAGGCCAGCATCAAACTCCATCTTCCTGCCTTTACTTCTCAAGGGCTGGGGTTACAGGCATGTGTCGTCTCCATCCAGCGAATAGTAATTTGCTGTTGTTTAAGATAGGGTCTCACTACATAGCCCAAGCTGGAATTCCCCTGCTTCAGCCTCCCAAAGTGCTGCAATTACAGGTGTGAGCCTCCACATTCAGCTAGCTCAATACTAGTGTACTTTATATACTATTTTATATTCTATACCATTTGGCAATCTGGATGAACTCCAAAGAGATCACAAGACATGGCTTTGTAACCTCAGTGTTTGAACCTGTAATGTTCATAATTGGAAGCTTTCTCATTTTCTTACAGATAAAATAACATAATCTGCTTTATTCTTTTCTACACTGCCTAATCTCAAAAGTAATGGCCACCAATTTTACAGGTGTGTACCACCATAGCCAGTGAGGCAAAAAAGCAAGGTGTTGTCAAGCCCCACCCTCAAAAAACCTGAACCTCGCTAGAAAGGTGTTATGACTTAAAGCATGTTATCATTAAAGTATGAAGTATGAATAGTCAAAACTAACCCCGAATACTTACTTATCATCAGCAAGGCTTGCGACATGCAGTCCATCATGACTGAAAGACACAGCTCGTACCCATCGGTCATTTGCTCCACCAGCAAATATTGGAGTAGGTGGGGGAAACAGGTGCCTGGGGTCAGAGACATAGTTTCAGTGGGTTTTAGAATCATTCAAAAAACACAATGGCCTTGGTATCCAAGTTCATTGGCCTTTGAATAAGATTTAAAGTGGGGCACCAATGATACAACCAAGACAGAGGAGAGCTGTTCCAGCCAGGCTAAGTGTAACAGGAGGCTGTGTGCTCAGTCAGAAAGAGAGCGTCCCCAACAGACTGTTCTTCAGCCAAGGGTGCACAGTAACTGTGCTTCCCTGCTAGAACTGCCAACCAAAGCAAGGGCTTCTGAAAGAATCCTTCACCTCTCTTTCACACATGGCACACATTTAACATTCTGTCTAACCATTTTCCACAGGCATGAAACTCTAGTATACTACATTTCTACAGAACCAGACACTTAAACACCAAGACCCACCTAATAAGAGCCACATTTACTCTGAGATTATCTAAAGCTTTGTGCATTACTCAAGTGATCACATAATGGGAAAAATTTTAATTTATGAGATTGTTAATTTGACATTTTGTTAGGGATTCTAATTTTTCACATAACTTCTTCAAAGCCATACTGATAGCTAGTATTGGATTGATTACAGACTGGGATAATTCATGTACTCACCCGAATTCCATCAGAATGTCTCCATTGTGTGGATCCCAGACATACACACGAGTATCATAAGATGCAGTAGCTAGCAATGCTCCATCAGGAGAAAAGTCACAAGCTACAACATCATGGTGATGTCATTCCAGTTTCCTTATCATAGTGTATTTATCCATATTCCAAAGGAAAACCTGTAATAGTAAAAAGGCAAATGTTATAGTTTCACTCAGACACAGAGGACAAAGGGGCATATCTTAAACTACAACTGCTATTTTAACATTACATTAAATTAATTACAAATTATGAGTAATTTAAAGAATATGCTCAGTGTCATAGATTAAAAAAATCAGTCTTTAAGTTAATTAAAGCAGACATGCAAATTTCTATTTCAAATGTTTTCTGTTAAATGTTAATTTAAAAAATAAGCCTAAAGGGAAAATAAAGGCAATACAATTTAACCACATATTGAAATCCATTTATTCCAAAAACTAATTAACTAAAATATATGGAAATAAATAGGGTTAAGTATTACAAACCCCTTTCTCTTTTTTCCAGAAACTACCAATTTTTAAAAATAGATACAGACAGATAATGTAATGTTAGCAAATTGTTACTCCATTGGCATCTCCCTTTGAGATAATCACTTGTTTACAAAAGGCTTGGGTCACCACCGAGAGCCTAGGAAGAGAAACAGATACTGCAAGAAAAGAGAATTTTCACAGCCAAATGTAATTTTGTTGGCAAACAACAAAGATGTTAAACCACATTACACAAATGAAAATGCTATTTTATAAAATAATATAATTATAATATTTTTGTAATTAACAGTCTTATTTTTCCAAACTGACTATAATCATTAGCCATTTTCAGCATAAAAGTTAAATTACTTCAAAACAAGCTCACATACAGTTTAGATTTTAAACATCCAAAGACTGTGCAGAAGGTTCTAAATAAGTTTTGCTGGGTTTTTTGCTTTGAAGCAGTGTCTCACCAAGATGCCCAGGCTGGCCTTGAACTAAGTAGCCCAGGCTGGTCTTGAACTTGTGATCCACTTGCCTCAGCCTCCCAAGGAGCTCTAGACAGGATTCTAATGCTTACTGCAGGCTGTTAGATTAAACATAAGCTTGGAGGTTTTACAGGAAGCCTGGTGAGACAGCTTCCTCCTCCTGTAGTGCAGTCTTTTCTGCCACGTCCTGTCTGCACACATTGTTTCCAAAGGAAATAAGCATAATAACTGGGCAGTGATCTAAGGTACTGCCAGTATCTTAGGAAATTCCAAAAAGCAACAGAGAAAGCACTCAAAAACCAATTTCTTTACATTAAATTGGGTTCAACTGTCAGACTCTCAATTCCATCAAACTGGAAGATCAATTTACTCAGGAGTCTGGATTTTACTGTGGGGAAAATTACTTTTTAAAGGGGAAAAAAAGAAAAAGAAAGAAAGGAAGAAAAGCAGAAGTGGACATCGACCAGCACCTGTGTACGTACAGTACACCTTGCAGCCGAATGCAAGGTTACTTCATCCTATGGTAAAGGTCGCCCCCAGCCCGGTAGCCAGAGATGCCACTCTTTCTGCCCAGCTAACACCATGTGCGCCTGTGTGCGAGTGGTGCCAGCATAACCTCAATCACACCAATATTGCTGCCACCACCTGTGACAGGGAAAGCAAGAAGCATATGGAAAACACACAGCCTAAAATAGCAACGTCAACATCTAGCTTGTTTTATGACTTAAAAAACAAAACAAAACAAAACAAACTAAGCTATTTTGTTCTAAACTTCTAACATTCACGACTATCATTTTAACATACTTCTTGGCAAAATAAAATGTGTTTTACCTAGCCACAACCCCCACCCCCGTTAGTCCAAAGTGTGCTGTGATCATTACACATATCTGGAGTTCAGCCACTTTCATAACTACTCAAGGCTACTGCTAAGCTCTTAAAACTACATTAACTCAGAGCTAGTACACCACAGTTCACTGCAAGTACAGCCCTCAACAGTCACTACTTCAGCTGTCAACAGGCAAGCTGTAAAACAATGTGCAGCTTCATCTACAATCCACTCTCGCACAGAAATGAGTGCTCATTTCATTATGGTTTTAAATTACTGTTTTTTTTCCAGTTAAATGTACAGAATCAACTTAAAAAAAAAAAAAGCAAACTGAACAAAACAAAAACAAAGAAAATAATCAATAAGGAAATATCTTAACATATGGACTAGATAGATCTTGTCTATATCACATCAACTTTCCTAGATCTCACAAAAAACTAACTTTCAGTTTATAAACATCTCTAAAAGCAATTCAATTTCTCAATTCACAAATAACTAATTTTCTACATGCAAATAAATTCTCTCCATCATGAAATAAAGCATTAAGATATTCATGACACCGAGCACAGACTTAATAGGTTGCTTAGATTTACAATGATTAAGCACACATTATCATCCAATTCCCAATACATGTCCAAGAACTTTGACACATACTGCTTTACTGGCTCCAACTGAACACAGCATGGACGAGTCGGGAGAGAATGCACAACTGTACACCCAGTTCTGATGTCCCCGCAAGACTTTCATCATGTTTCCTAAGAAAAAGAAGCAGCTGTGTCAATCAGTAACACTGCACCCCCGTAACAGTTACCAAACACTTTTATAGCTGAAAAAAGAAATAGCGATAGACAGACAGATAGATACAGAGGGCTTCAATATCTGCCACCTGTTTGTTTCCCTCCCTTCCTTCCTTCCTTCCTTCCTTCCTTCCTTCCTTCCTTCCTTCCTTCCTTCCTTCCTTCCTCCCTCCCTCCCTCCCTCCCTCTTTCCTTCCTTCCTTCCAAGGCTGGGTCTCTCTGTGTAGCCCTGGCTGGCTTCGGACTCCCAGAGGATAGTAGCTGTTGCTTCATAAAATTACATGGGACTTGAGAGACACTATTCCATAGTCAAGAGCAAACTCTGCTCTTACAGAAGAGCTAAGTTTGATCCAGCATCCTAATTGGGTCTCTCACAACTGCCTGAAACTCTAATTCCAGGAGATCCAATGCCTCTGGCCTCCTCAGGCACCCATATATGAATATACACCCCCCCAGACACACATGAATATATAAATAATACATTTTGGAATGTAAAAGCTAGGCATGCTAATTTATATCTTTAATCTCAGCACTCAGGAGACAGAGCAGGTATTTTAGCCTCATATACATTCACTTCTGTTTCTCTTAATGATAAAACTTTGTTAACATCAAGATACCATGTTTCCAAAAAAAACTGAGTATACCAACAGACTTTTCTGTGAGATCAGAGGGAAAAACATCACTTACTTTTTAATGAAAGAATTTATGATCCATGCTTACCAGCATTTAACCACATTATAAATCCTGGTTTGTAAATCAAGCTATAATCTAAATTTTATTGGATGAATAAATCTGTTGCTTAAAGTCCCACTTACAATTTTTTATTGAAAGTTTCATTTATTTAGTGCATGAGTGTTTTGGCTGCACATATGTCTGTGCACCATGTATATGCACTGTCCACAGAGGCCAAAAGGTGTTAGATCCCTTGGAACTAGAGTCATGGATCTGTGTGGTTGGTTTCTGAGCAGTGTCAAGACAGTTTATAATAGTAACTGCTGGCTTAATCTATGTTTTTGTTTCCCAAGTATTAAACAGAAAGAAAAAAGACTCCTTGGTCACCAAGCCATTTGTTTGTGTTTTTCTGATACAGTGCCCTGCTAACTAGCCAAGTCTGGCCTAGAGCTCTCAATCCTCCTGCCTTGCCCATTAGAGCTAAGATTACAGGTGTGCTGGGCTGCAGGGAGGGCGGGCGGCAACCCTGTAATCACTCTCAACAGTCACATCAAGTCAGGTGTGGTGGCACACGCCTTCAATTCCTGCACTCAGGAGACAGGCAGGTGAATCTCTGTGAGGCCAGCCTGGCCTACATAGAGAATTCCAGGCCATCCAGGGATACAGGGAGACCCTAGAGAGAGACCGAGACACACAGAGAGAGACAGAGGAGAGAGAGACAGAGAGAGGGGGGAGAGAGAGAGAGAGAGAGAGGGGGGGGGGGAGGTAGGTAGGTATCTTATTCCTTTGCACAGCTGGAGCAAAGACAAGACATACATACCATCATCTTTCAGGTCCCACACTCTGAGAGTTTTGTCTCTTGAAGCTGATACAAGTATTAAGCTCCCATCTGGAGCAAAGGTTAAGTCTCTGACCACTTCAATGTGGTCTACCAAATTAAGGAGGAGCTTTCCTAAATGTGATTGAAAGAGGGAAAAAAAGGAGACAGGATCAATATTTCTTATTTTCTTACAGTTTTGTTAACTGTAAAGAATGAACAGGGGGCTGGAGAGATGGCTCTGAGGTTAAGAGCAATGGCTGCTTTTCCAAAGGTCCTGAGTTCAATTCCCAGCAACTACATGGTGGCTCACAACCATCTGTATTGAGATCTGGTGCCCTCTTCTGGCCTGCAGGGATACATGCAGGCAGAGCACTGTATGCATAATAAATAAACAAATCTTTAAAAATAAATAAATAAATACATTAAAAAACAAAAAAGAATGAACAGGCCAGGCGGTGGTGGCGCACGCCTTTAATCCCAGCACTCGGGAGGCAGAGGCAGAGGCAGAGGCAGGCGGATCTCTGAGGTCAAGGCCAGCCCGGGCTACTAAGTAAGTTCCAGGAAAGGCGCGCAAAAGCTACTCGGAGAAACCCTGTCTTGAAACACCAAAAAAAAAAATGAACCGACATTCTTGGGTACCTCCTAGTTCTATGAACTAAATTATTTCACTTATTAATTAGTGGCTATTGTTATTTGTGAGGATTCACTACTTAACAGATTTTTAAGTAATTTCCTCCCAAGATAACAAACACTGCATTTACTAGAAAAATGTAAAAGGAATGACTGAAATGTGAGCAAACCCCCAGATCAAATTAGCATCAAGAAAGCCCTATACCACTGTCTCTTCTAAGTATTTGCACAGTATGACTATTCTGTATTTGTATTTGTGTGTGCGCGCGCATATGTCTGGGGCCGATCTCCTGGAGCTGGCTCTCTCCTGCCATGTGGACCCAGACTCAGGCTGTCAGGCTTGGCAGCAAGCACCTTTAACTGTTGAACCAGCTCACCAGGCCCAGTGTGACTTTAAAACAAGAATACCAACTTTTCTCTTTGCTTTTTATTTCCTTGCCCTTGGACTATGAAATGCCCCACAAAGTAAATATTATTACTCAACTTATAATTCTAACAGTATCTAAACATTTTTAGTACTTACCAGTTACTGGAAGTTTTGTTTTCCAGAAAAACCTGTCTGTGGTTACCTTAATTTTTTTTTTTTCTAATAAGCCAATCAAACTTTGCTTCCTTGTCCCAAATTCAATGTCATTATTATTGTCTGTGTTCTGGAGTACTCTTGCTTTAACACCCACTTAAATTCTTTTATATCTCTGAACACACAGACTATGCTAGAAACCAGAGCAAAATCAAACTTTTTCTTTTTTCTTAAATTGCTGGGCATTGAACCATGGCTTGAGGCAATGTTCAGCAAACCCTTTACCACAGGGCTGCTTCCCTCATCCTTGGTGAAGATAAGGTCTTACTATGCAGTTCATGCTGCCCTCAACTGGCAATGTAGACCAGGCTGGCCATTGAGACTTCTCGGTGCTGGGATTACAGCTGTGTATCACCATGCTCAGTGTGAGCACTTCCTTCTTTTGGTTTTGGAGACAGGATCTCTTTACATAGTCCTAGCTGACCTAGAACTCACTATGCAGACCAGGCTGGCCTCAAACTAACTGAGATCGGCCTGCTTCTGCCTCCTGAGTGCTAAGATTAAAGGAGTGTGCCACCACACCTGGCAAAAAACTCAACTTTTCAATCTATGTGGTTAGCTATTGGATAAGGTGACCAAACTATTCTGAGGATTAGATATTGATTATTAAAATCAGATTTGGGAGCTGGGCATGGTAGTGCACACCAGTAAAATTGGGAGGCAGAGATGGGCAGACAGATCTCTGTGAGTTTGAGACCAGCCTTGTCTACATAGTGAGCTCCAGGACAGCCATGAGTATAGAGTGACCCTGTCTCAAAAAGCCAAAAACAAAACAAAAACCCCGATTTGTAGTTGATAAATGCTCAGTTGATCGGGTGCTTGCCGAGCATGCATACGCAGCCCTGGAGTCCCAGCACTGCATAAAAATGGGAGGTGTGAGCCAAGCCTGCAATCCCAGCTCTCAGGATGCAGGCAGGAGGAGCAGAGTTAAGGTCATCCTCTGCTACACATCCAGTTTAAGGCCTGCATGGGATACAAAAAACTGATTTCCCTCAAAACCCTCTAAGCTATCATTGAAAAAGCATGTAAGACATTTTTGCTGAGTCATAAACTAAAGCATTCGTTTATAAATAACTAAAATACAACCCATACATGCTTTGCATACTTTATCAAGCATGAACTCTGTATTATTCTCCTAAATTAAAATTATGAACTCAAGACTTAGAACAATTATAAAGACACATCCATTTTCACCTTTCTGTACCTTAAAACCCTCAAATCATGTATTCCAGTGCTATTATAAAATAATCAGGTTCATCTTTGAAATTATGAATCCATACCTGTATATGCATCCCAGATTTTGATGTGGCCATTGTTTAATCCTGTAGCAAGGAGCAGCTGATCCTGTCCAAATCTGAACCGATGCCATTCTACATTAACACAGCGGCTCTGTTTTTCTGGAACTGAAGACCCAAAAGCAAGACTCCAGACTATGTCTCCACAGTCTATAATGTGTTCAGGAGGCTTATTTTTCTGAC